TTATCAAAATAAAATCTTATCTATCTATAATGGAGTTATGCTCTACCACACCACAGTGCCCAAGTTTTATACTTATATCATCAATGATACTACTACTCACTGCCTCTTCATTGAAGTAAATATTTGTCGGTCACTCACACTATCTCGGAGTCCAAAGTTGTCCGAAGTTGTACTGCTGCAGAATACAGATGTAACAGCAGAAAGATATTTCCTTTAGACGACTAACAAACCAGCCTCACCGTTGTAGGAAGAGGCGTTGGAGAAAGCCAACCGCGAAAATGATACATTCCGACTTTGCAGAAGTCCACAATCGATACAATAAGATCTGAATACGAAGACAACTTCAAATGCCAACTGATAAGCGGGCGATGTGTATAACTGGAGTCAAGTAGTTGTTTGATTTCATTCTGCGGTCAGGCAGTCTGAAAGGAATCATCGCAATTATCACAAACACCACTGAACTGCGTCTTTGGTATTTCACACCCAATTTTTTTTTAGAAATAAGATATATATCAGGCTGATTGACTGGATAAAACGACTACACAGACAGACAACAAACATCTAGTAGGCAAGCAAAATGATAGTTACCGCATAGTCCTTTTTTTTATTCCTTCGCGTTCCCCAGTGGAACATAGTGCTTCAAGCTAGCGGCTTGAAGTTTCCGTAGCAGTGTTGATTCTATTTTACAGGATGAGGTTGCCAGCCTCATGCCCAACCTTTTCTCTTCACCAGCATTACTTCTGGCTCAGCGAGGTAAAGGAATTCGCCGGCCGGGGACCGATCCCCTGACCATGACCATGCATGGTTGGCGAGCGTCCTAACCGCTATGCCACCGACGCACACATAATCTTTAATTACATAAAATAAAGTAAATGCACACCGAATATATATTAGCACATCTGTTTAAATTACCAAAAGTCAGCAGGTAAGTTAAAAGAGGAGGATCAGGGAAGAAGCGTCAGTCATTTCTGGTACCACTTTCAATCACTCCACTCATTCATCTCGAAAGAAAGAAGAGTTCATCGTGTAGTCTCAGATACACTTCACTGAACATTTTGAAGCTTTGTGTTAATTATAGTTCTGTGATGCTTTAAACCAGTGCATAAAATATATATTATAAATATTTATTCCCATAGAAAGTGATTGACCGCATCAACAACAAAACAGTCAGTCTGGCTTTAAAATAACATATATAGGCTGGTATAGTGAATTAAACATGTTCAGCTTGAATTTTATTTCCATACACAATATCCGGAACGCATATCTTCATAGTGTAGCACACTGCTGAGTCACCTTAGTTTGGCATTTTTGAAACTTTGTTTTCAGGATGGGGGAGAGGCGGAATTCCGGCCCTTTTCCACTATCAGCTTTAGTGGAATGCGTACATCTAGTCTCCAACTTCAACCACCGTTCCAAGGCCCATCTCAAATCTAAAAGCAGATGAAGCATCAGCGCATCTGATGGTATGACAACTGAGGGGTTGAAGAATAGTGACGATGAATTATTGGCTATTTATTATTTGAGAGTGCATCGGTAGCACATCGGTGGATTGCTCGCCAACCACAACTCAAGTGGTTGCATGGGGTTCGATTCCCGGCCACTCACGCATTCCTTTACTTCGCTAAGCCAGCAATAAGACTGGTAGTGGTAGAAAGTTTGGGCTAACGTGAGGCTAGCAACCCCATCCTGTAAAAATAATCACCACTGCTACAGAAGTTTCAAGCCTCCTAGCTTGAAGCCTCCCCCCACTATGTTCCACTGGGAACGTAAAGGAATAAAACAAATTAGTTGAGAACTCAACACAGATCTACGATGCTGATGTAGATTATTGATAATTATCAGTTTACATCAAAAAGAACAAATCTTCTTGTAATAATCACCAAGGGAATAGGTTGACTAACACAATATTTCAAATTCTATAGTTCATAGAAACCCGTGGAGAGTAAGTAGGCCTGCTTTAGGATCTGATATGAGTGTACTTGATCTCATCTCCATTCTTCGCTAGGATCTGAAACACACACACACACACATCCTTACCAGCGACCGATATTTGTAATTTTTCCTAACCGGAAGAGGGCATTTGACTCCATCGATCGCGAAATGATGTGAAAATGTTTGGCTGTAAAGCGAGTATCGAAAGTATTTATTGGGTGACAGTTGAATTCCCTCAACTGTGGTAAATCTTATGCACAGTTTCTGTCTGAAGTCACAGTAACTACTGGTGTCCACATCACTGATAACCTCTGAGCGCCTTCTCCACTAATTTCATAAATTTTAGGCGTCAGTCAGCTGGTATTTGATCGATTTCAGGTCAGATGACGAACTGAAGTCGTTTAGAGTGCCATGGAAAACCAGGGAGCACTGGACAGCGCAGTATGCACCCATGACCCTAATGAGGATCATAACAGGCGTATAGATAGATGTGACTCCATGTCGGTTTCAATTCCCTACAAACTGACTACTTACCATCGGACGACCTTGTCAACTAACAATAGGTAAGTGACATAGGTTTTCTAAACGAAAACAGGAACACAATGCAAGCTTTTAGAGAGCCAGAGTAAACATCTGAGTACGTTTTGCATGAGACCTATCTTAATTGCATAGGAGATGATGCTACAGGACTGGACTCTCCTAACTCCTGGTTGAAAGCATGAGAAGACAAAGCTGCACAAGTCAGTGCAGCTCCACCAATTGACGTGTTAATGTTGCACCACCACCATCAGCCTCGAGTAGTACTGTCAGTCGAACCACGATTAGGAGAGTGAAAAGTAATAGGCCGTTGGACCAGAAATGATCACAATAAATGGAGTCACTCAATGATAAACTGGGTCACTCAAAGAAAAATGTACACTAGGCGACCGAATTCGTCAGAATTATAAAAATAAAAATGTCGCTAAAGTCACATCTCCCAGATTCTCAACATGTTGAATAATCTACATTCGATTATTCTGTTTACAGTGCACCCTCGTCTGTTGTAGCGGGATCCCATTCCTTTTCACTACTTTAAAATGTATCCTTCTCCGAAGTGTAAAGAATTGAGTTTAAAGTAATTTTGTGCAAAGTTGTTTTCTGTCAAATTAGTCAACGAACAGTCTGTTAAACATTTAACAAACTCTTTTTTCTGATTAAACAACACAAATGTTGTTGTTTATATAACATCGAATTAATAATAATAATAGTAATATTAATGTCGATGGATTACAGTTCAGTGGCATCAACATAACACTACACACACTGAATATCAGAGAAATTAGGTAAAGAGACAATAATACAAATTCATGAATTTATGGTCTCCACTGAAGACCAGCTAGGGCAGAAGTAGTGGCTACCTAGACTTGCTTCTTCTGCACACTCAGCCCTGGTTGTTCCAGGCGAATCGCGATAGCCTCTGTTCTTTGAAGTATGCGGTCTTAGATGTTTTTGGTAATTAGTGTGGTACCCGATAGATGATGTAGAAGGACTCTTCAGTGCTGGCATTGTCGCTGGTTTGGACCAGATGGTCAAATATATCGAACTGTTGATGGTTTTTACTAAATACACCTTTGCTTAGCCATGCTTTGTTTTATGTCCAAAAGAATCAAGTCCAACTAGATACTACTACAGTTGCCCTGGGTGGCCTTCCGAGGCGACTATAAATTCATGAATGTGTATTATTATTTATAAAATTATATTTGTAAAATCTCAGCGAAATTGAAACGATTAATTCCAACGTTTCTTGTGTTCGGAAATCTGGTCCCAACTTCTTCAGGGAAATTAATCGAAATTAACATAACAGAGGTTTATATATAAAAGGAACAATTCTTGTTTTTAAACCTTCTCCAATCATGAGCCATGCATGTATATATAAACATACCATTCTATTTATTATACATGTTGGTGCCTGTTGCATGGCTCATGATTGGACAAAGTTTAAAAAGAAGTGAAAAATTGTGATGAAACGATAAGCCAAATAGATCAAAGCTACTTATGAATACAAATCGCATTATATTTATAGTGTATACAGTTAGTAGGAATATAGTTGTTCAAGCTAAGCTTTAGTTAAAAAAAAGGAAAAGTTAGTGAGCAATGAACAGTGTTTATATTTATTTATTTTATTGTCCCCTTGGGTTCCTAGTGGAACATAGGGCTTCAACTGCACATCTTCACTTCCTTCTGTCTTCTGTTGTACTTTTCACCTGCATCCATGTTAGTCCACACTGTTTCAACTCCTCTTCACACGATCTCCTCCATGTCACCATTGGACGTCCCACTCGCCGCTTCCCTTTCGGGTTCCACTCGAGTGATGGCCTGATGCACGATGTCACCCAGAGGCCTCCTCAGCGAGTGTCCGACCCATCTCCACTTTCTCCTGCATATTTGTTGGGCGATTGGTTCCTGTTTTGTTTGTTCCTATAGTTTCTTGTTGGTGATTCTTTCCGGCCATCTGATCTTCAGTATGGAACGAAGACAGTTGTTGATAAAGGTCTTCAACCTGTTGGAAATATTCTTTGTGACCCGCCGCCAATTTTCTGATCCGTATAGAAGAACTGACTGTCTTGACGTTTGTATTGAAAATCCGAATTTTGTTGTTGATGCTGTGTTGAGTGACGAAGATTTCCAGATTGGTTTCAGGTTGATGAATGTGTTTCTCTCCTTCTCCATTCTCTATTTGACATCCTCGTCCGTTCCTCCTGTAGTTGAGGGAATGCTCCCTAGATAAGTGAATGAAGTAACCTGTTTCAAATCCCTCCCGTTGATGGTGATTGGCGCTGGATGTTGTTGCTTAAACCATTATTTATATAGGTACAAATTTAAAGATTTTATTGGTGACCGACTTGCGGGTAAGTTATATCAAGGTAATTAAACGATACTCAAGGCTTGTCAACCAATGAACTAAGCCTAAAGCACATTCTTTTCCTAATATAATATTTTCAAAATTAAATAAAAAAGATCCAGATTAGATAGATTATTTTCTTGTTTACCTTTTTTTTCTTTTATGTCTTTTGCTTTTTAACTTTCAGATATATACATTCAGATGAACGGTAAGCTAGCTGGCTTGTGTTTTGTTGTTGTTGTTGTTGTTGTTGGTACACTGCTTTCTGCTCTGTTTTATCTTGCTTTCTGGCGTTTCTTGTTTTAACACGTTAATGGCTTTACGTGCATATGCATACATATATATGTATTCAGTCGACTGTACGGTAATTTTGATGGGTGATATCAATCACACTAGTCACAGAAGTCAACAGAAGTTGTCACATGATTTTTTTTCTTGTATTTACGCTGTATCGTATTTCTGTCTTTGATATTTTCATTGATAACATCATAGTAATATTCTGATGGATTCCTATTTTTTTATAGCAGTAGTATAGTTGTGGCACAACGGTAGAGTGCTCGCCGACCACAGCTCATGTGGTCCGGCCACTGACGCACTCCGTTACCTCGATAAGTCAGTAGTAAGACGGGTAAAGAGGGAAGGTCGAGCTTATGTGTGAGGCTAGCACCCCCGTCGTGTAAAAATAATCACCACACTGCTAACGAAACTTCAAGCCTCCTAGCTTGAAGCCCCCCCCCTATGTTCCACTGGGAACTTAAAGGATAGTTGTTGCTTTCTATCCAAGTCTTTATTTGTATTGTTGTTCCACTGTGCTGTGGAAGGTAGAAACTACTTACCCCTCGCCCACCCAGTTTGTTTATACCTAATGCGATACACTCCTTACTCAAATGATCACTTGTATACACAAGTGAAAACTCAGAGAAGCGTTTAAAGTGAAGACAGGAGTAAGACAAGGTTGTCTATCTATTATCACCCACGATGATGATGATGATGGTGGACTAGATCATCTGAAAGCCCCCAGAAGATATATGGACTTCACGAAGAAGAATTGCAGGTGAAATCCAACAAGTTGATAGAAAAGGCGGCTGACTGTGAAGGCAAGAGATGAAGGATAGAGATACCCTGTGACCAACAGCAAAAAGGAGCTCTGTGGGGGGAAATTCTGAAGGAGATCACTTCCCTCATTTTCAGTCAGCATCGTTCCAGCTACAGCCAGCACGGATGAGGCTGTGAAAATCAGAGAATATGAAAGGCAAGAGAGAGAAAGAGAGAGATATTCATCACTGTGAGATCAGTTTGGAAATCTTCTGCACTCCAATTATTACTGGGTTCTAGGATTCAATTCCCAGACAACCAGTTCAGCATCCTTACCAACCACCTGTCCCCATGTCTATGAACAGGGCATTATTTGTGTAAAGTGTAGATCGCTGTTGTTCAGTTTAACACAATAATGTTAACAGACTTATCCTTGTTTGTAAACTATTCAACATTGTTCAGAAGGTTCAAAGTACAATCATGCAAAATTAATTGTCGGATACACTGAAAATTGAGTTGTACAGTCAGGAGAAGAGGAGAGAAGTTGATCATGAGTAACAGTATGATGGTGAGTTTAACTCAAGTCATAGAAACAAAAAAAGAACCGAATTGCATACACTAGGGAAAAAGTAACGGTAGGCGGTTCTAAGCAAAAGATTATGTAATCAACTGAGGCGAAGAGGATAGACGTTGAGTGTCATCACGGTAAAGAAACACCTATAAGTGAGTCTTTCTGAAAATACACAAGTCAGGTTTTAAACGTTTGATAGCTATTGCTTCGGCAAATTTTAGTAGCGTTGAGTTATATTGTGTCTTGATAATCTTGAAGGATTTCACTCTGTTCACCTCATAACCCGTATCAACAACATGTCTGGCAATGGCACTGTCCAAAGCATTTGTAAACTTTTTGGTACATGTTCAAAGAATCTGAGATATGCTCTTATTTCTGTTCTCCTAATGTAACTGCTCCCGCAAATACACGTAAATTTGTGTATATAATTACAGTTAACATGGGAAGAGTACGTATCAAACTTTGATTGTTTCAAATGGTTTATTGTTCTGGCTAGACAAGTTTTCAGTCTTCTATTAATTATTCTCGCAATATTATCACCTTTAAAATCCAGTTGGTTGGTTTGTTTCGCCTTTAGATTTTCAGATCTCCCATACTTTTTGATGAATTCCAGATAATAAACACTAATTTCTAAGACTTTCTCAGTGCTTAGGAGTTCTTCCTCCAGTATTACTGTGGAGCATATTCTTCTTGCTTCGTAAAATAGAGTTTTGACCAATGCTCGTTTGTAGGGGATTGGACGTAAAACCAGTGAAATTTAAGTATAGTTCATTCCATGTGGATTTCCGGGGAATAGGTCTCCTATCTTCCAAGCGTTGTATAGCAATATCGAGGAAATGGGACTTCCTATCAGCTTCATATGCATGCCATTGTGGAGTCAATACTCTCATGTGCGTCATTGAACTGTTGAAGTAGGATGAGACGCATGATTCGCATTATCACATCAGAGGAAGGTGACAATAGGAAGTTGTCTTATCAATCGCCTTTTTCAGCTTTTTTTATCACAAAATTAGACATGAAAATGTCTGCTGCTACTACGGGGCCTAGTGGACCGCGCATAGCTATTCCATCTTTTTGACGATAGAGATTATTATTATCAAATTGAAATTGTACATCTGTGGTGCACATTAGAAGTAGGCGTTTAAATCATTCTACTGGTAAAGGGAGCAAATGAGAATGATATCGACAGTGGAATCCTTGTGAATAGATGAGTTACATCAGAGGAAACCATCTACTTGTTGGAATCGTTTACATTTTTCAGGCTTTCAACAAAATGGAATGACTCTTTGACTTTATATGTAGTTAGTCGTTGAGGAATGGACCCCAGCATCTCCGCCAAGCTAGCGAGCAACTTTGTATTGCGGTGAATTGACCATAGAAAGTATAGGTCTCATGGGAACATCTTGGTGGCAGCGTACTACTGAAGAATCCAAAACTAGAATGAAACAGCTGTCCAGTACCCCCAGGTTTTTTATGGTTCTCTAACTGATGTCAGCTCACGGTGAAAACCTCCAATTAATCAAACTTAATCCCTACAAAATCAATACTTGAAAATTAATTTCTAAAATTGTTTCTTTTTGTTTTTCAAAATTAATGTTGCATTGACACGCAAGTGTATAACATTGGAATAGTTTTTCCTATTTAATTTATTTTTCACCACTTCGGTTTTCATTCTAAAGCTGATTTAATTTGCATATTTCTATGCTGTTAATCATTATTATTATTCCCTTGGGTTCCTAGTGGAACATAGGGCTTCCACTGCACATCTCCACTTGCTTCTGTCTTCTGCTGTACTTTTCACTTGCATCCATGTTAATCCATACTGTTTCAACTCCTCTTCACACGATCTCCTCCATGTCACCCTTGCACCGACGTCCCACTACTCGCCGCTTCCCTTTCGGGTTCCACTCGAGTGATGGCTTGTCTAGTGATGTCACTTGATGGTTTCCTCAGAGTATGACCAATCCATCTCCATTTCTTCCTGCCTACTTTTTTCACAATCGGTTCCTGGTTGGTTTGCTCCCAGAGACCCAACTCTGTTGCTGATCTTTTCTGGCCGGCCATCTAATCTTGAGTATTGAGCGAAGACAACTGTTAATGAAGGTCTGTAGTTTGTTTGAGATGCTCTTCATGACGCGCAGTGCAAGTCTCTGATCCATCCGTATAGTAGCACTGACTGACTTCACATTGGAGTTGAAAATCCGGATCTTATTTTTGATGCTGAACAGTGCTGTTGATCTCCACACAGACTTGAGAAAAATGAAAGCTTGTCTTGCTTTTCTGATTCTTGCTTTGATATCCTCGTCAGTTCCGTCCACCTGTGGTTGAAACGATGCTTCCCAGTTAGGTGAAGGTAGTTGTTTCTTTCGTGTTCCTCCCATTTATGCTGATTGTTGTCTGTTGTTGTTGTTGCTGTTAGTGGTGTTGCCGAGGAATCTTCATCACCTCTGTTTTCTCTATGTTCACCTGAAGTCCCTGTTATCGTTGATGCTTCTTCTGCCAACTTGTTGCTTTTCGCCTGCATATCTTCCAGTTCGCCATCTAAACGCAATGAAATCAAGCTGTAAATGACTACTCTTCATACTATTGCTGTGATTACTTCTACTTCTCCACGCTTATCTTTTTGATTGCCGTTCAGCCTTTTCAATCAATTAACTCGTCGTCATCTGACTTGCTTAGTAGATTAGCAACTATTTGATTGTTGGATACAGACAACTACGTATACTTCACGGTTATTTATCTATCTCAAAGTCCACTTGCATTCAGTGTTGTTATAAATTTTCGCTAGAGGCACTGACTGTATGTGTTCAGTATTTTTTGTGACTTCTCAAGTATATTTTCGAAAGAATTGTTCCTTTTATATATAAACCTCTGTTATGTTAATTTCGATTAATTTCCCTGAAGAAGTTGGGACCAGATTTCCGAACACAAGAAACGTTGGAATTAATCATTTCAATTTCTCTGAGATTTTACAAATATAATTTTTATAAATGTCTTCTTCTCACTCAGCGCTCAATTATTTTGCAACTATCCGGTCAAATGTTGATCACAGTTCATATAGATTATTATTATCATTGTCATTTTTGCTAGTTTTTCTGATATTCCGTGTGTGTAGTGTTATGTTGATGCCACTAAGCTGTAATCCATCGACATTATTATTATTATTATTATTATTATTATTATTATTATTATAATATTATTATCACTATCATTAATTCGATGTTATATAAACAACAACATTGGGTGTTGTCGTTAATAACACTGATTCATTCATTCATTCACTGTTATGGATGGATATGTAACTGTAGAAGCTGGTGATGAAGAGCAGGTTATCGACTATTGTTTTGAAAAATTTCAATGAACATTTTTAATCAGGAAAAACAGTTTGTTAAATGTTTAGCAGACTCTTCGTTGACTAATTTGACAGAAAACAACTTTGCACAAAATTACTTTAAACTCAATTCTTTACACTTCGGAGAAGGATACATTTTAAAGTAGTGAAAAGGAATGGGATCCCGCTACAACAGACGAGGGTGCACTGTAAACAGAATAATCGAATGTAGATTATTCAACATGTTGAGAATCTGGGAGATGTGACTTTA